ATATTTCGCGACTTATTCCTTTGAAATTCATAACTTTTGTAAATAATACCCCTCTAATGGGTACGGCCTTGACGTGGCAGAGGGGCTCAGTATTCCGAGGGGATTATTTAAGCAGTAGTATTAATCGGCGAAATAGTTTGCCGATTAACTTGTGCCGCTTGAGTATGTACCCCAAAGACGAAGAAGCTAATCAGTACCCGTTGCACTATTATTAGTAACATTAATATTAACATTAAGTAATATTACTGTTATTAATAATATACTAAACACAGCATAGCCAGCGAGTTGTGAAATGGCTCTTATGTGGCAAACTTAATTAATGCGTTTGACGCATTAATCGTTCTTAACCGACATTCCGCCGCCGATGAATTGAATTGTGAATGAACGAACTGCAGCCAGTTCGTCGCGTCGCGCGTTTGCTTCGGGAGTGCCGTACGAGTGATCGGACTTTTCCTCGCCCTGCGAGGGCTCGTTTGAAAAATATCGTAGTTCGAGTCGGTCGAGTCGCACTGCCAAGGTGTGCAGAGATCTCATTGAGGCGTAGTCGGCTACGTCTTCGCGCCACGTGCGCCGCGGCACTGGTGATGCCGGCTGTGAATGTTACACGCACTCGCTACCGCTCGATGTGTTGTGTTTCGCACAGTTGCAACTTGCATTAAACGGCTGATTGAGAACACGCTCTGTCTTCGACAAGTGGTTCGGTCCCAATCGGTAAGATTTCTATCGGCTGACTTGTTTTCGTTTCGCTTAATCTCTTGATTTTTTTATTTTCGACACAGCATTGCCACGAGTCGTGAAAGGGCTCCTATGTGGCACGTTGCGATTATTTAATCGCCAACGATCTTTATTTTCCCTTTCTTAATACCTTAATACCTTTCCCTTCCTAAACAAATCGCGTTTAATCTGACTCGATCTTAGAGCTTAGTTCGGGCGGTTATTGCGTGTGCCGAGAGGCTGGATCCCAGTTGTCCGATTGTCTAGATTGTTAGGCATCGGCGGTGGGGGGGAGACCTTCTCTCTCGTCACATCTACCAGCCTTCTCGATAGCCCGGGTGACTTTTGATATCACGTGTATGGTATCCGCCCTGGTGATTCGACCTGAACCGTTGGCTATGCGATGGTTGAGTCAATTTTAGACGTGATTTCTAAGAAACAAGAGACGTCGGATTCAAGTCAGTCGATTCGTCCTCTTCCGCTTCGATCCTAGCCTTTGCTTGAAGAGTTACCGTGTGTCCCGAAAAGTTCACCGACTCGGATGCTGACTGGACCGACGGAATTTGATATTTTCACGGGCAGCTAAACGCGGAGTGCCGTCAAGTATCGCGCGAAAGACTTTTATTGAAAGTTAGTCCGCGCGCGATTATAATAATTCGCGAGTGTTTTTCGCGAGTGTCCTGTGCTGCGAGGAGACGACCTAACATCCTGAGAGAAGGAGGAGGCCTAGGAGAGGCATCGGGCACCGGCGGAGCAACCTTGCGGTAAGTATATATTTCTTATCAATATTAAATTGATTGTTTTCTCATTTATTTGGATCATTAAATTTAAATAATTTAAAATTTATAATTCCGAAAAGAAAAGCAAAAAATGTCAAGTTTTATACGAATTTATTTCTATAAAGATCTTTTTCGAAAAATTATATATTTATTTTAATAAATATGTAATAGAAAAGTAAATAGATTTGAGACTATACGCATAGGAATGATTTTTTTTAAATATCTATTGTTTCGAGCGCTGCTGCAATTTGCATCTGTCTTTGTCTGTTATAGAATCATCGTAGCTACGTTGCAGATTAACTCCGCTGTTGCGCATCGGGTCGGTGAGTGACAAATTTTTTACATTGAGGTGACAAATCTGTGAAGCTTATATTAAACTATTTTTATGTATTTATTATTAAAGTATTGCGGTTGGATATGTTTTCACAGATTTGTTGCTCTAAAATGGATAGATTTAAATAGTTTGGGGTTGTATATTTAATCCTGGTATTACACTATTTATTGATTTACTGCAATGCATTTGTACAAATACAAAGAGATCAGGAAATAGAATTCTTTGTATCAATGTTTGATTATTTTATATTGTTTTTCGTATTTTATTTGCGAGATGTATAAATTGCTCAAAAATTATCAAATAATCTCCCAAGAAAGTATAAGTGATATAATTTAATTGTTTTAAGAAATTAAATACTTATGTAGTACATATCAAGTGATATAGTGAGGATAATTTAAAAATAACAGTTTAATTAATTTATTTATTAAGTACTTTTTGGAAATATATTAATATATGGATTTTATTAAATTTATTAAATTTTTGGAATAAATATTTAACAATATTTGGAATAATATTTAATAATGGAAACAGCACAAAAGAAATTCAGTTAAATTAGTATCCTTCAAAAGCATTAAATTTTCATTTTAAATACTTTTATGATACATATTTTTCAATATAAATGTAGAAATAAAATGATGTTTTATATATAAAGTATGACTCTCTCAGTTGAATTACTATGCCTTAAAAATCATAGTAAATCTCGAGGCCCGATCGTCAGTGTCTGAATCGGTTGGGCATTGTGTCTATGACTATCCTAGACTAAGCACACTAGACCAACAGCCCAGTTCGGGGCAGGGATTAACTGGAGGTCACGGTCCTCCGATCTATCCTGAGCTCACATTCTAGGCGTACGAGACCTTCGGGAAATCTCTATTGCGTCTATACTGCAAGCTGCCCAAAGGAGGCTTAAAGTAGTCTGAGAGTAGGCATGTACTCTCGCCTTTTGGAGGAAACGTGCCCTTGCAGATAAGGTTTGTCAGGTGTCCTGGCTTTACGAAGTCCAGTGCGCCGGGCTGGCGTTTGTTGTTTGGATCCGTGAATCCTAGCGGCTTGGAAATCGCGTCGTGCTGGTGCCTATTGACGTTTGGGCATGTGTCGTGAGGGTTGAAATGAAAAGGAGTCATATTTTAAT